CTGAACTAACTTAAGGAAAGCAGACGGGCTATCTAGGCAACCTCTTAGAAAACACAGATCACTGGAGGGAGGTGGTTCAACTCTGTGAATTTAGGAGAAACCTGATGAATAGCAGAAATTTGGATGAACAATTATCTGCTGTTTTTTCTGCACTGAGGAACAACTTACTTTTTTCCTGTGGAGGATTTACACCACAGAGGACAGACTCTCAGTAAACACAGAGGAATGGAAGCAAATTGGTCCCACTACCCCTCTTGCTCTGAACTGCTGCTCTGTCCCAAACCACCTTGGTGTAGGAAGCACAAACATGGAGTGACCTTGTTTAACATCCAGGCACCAAGCTGTAGTTCCTGGGAAAAGCAGCTGAATTTTGCCCTGTAGGGTTTGGCAATGACCTGGGGCATCTTGTGGCTTCACCCTTGCAAGTGTCTCTCCATTGTGGTGCCCAGGAATGCAGGAGGGAAGCCATGCAGCTAGAGTTTGGTCACTCTGTCAGCTCAGGGGTGGTCTTCATTGCTCTGGGATGGGTTTCTGTTTTAGACTGAGGGATTCTATGATTCTATGATTCTGTGTCATGAGTGACAGCATTGCCTTTGGAATTGTTTTCTCAAAGGGCTGCAGTAATTATAAATCACATCCTATGTAGAACTATAAGAAAAAAACTACCTTCTACCTGTCTTATGGACCAAAAATTTTTATGTGAATAGATGATATATTGAAAAATGCACTTAAGGGTGCCTGAGATATATTGTAGCTAGTTCTGGAAAGCAGGGGAAAATCAGATCTGCTTTGTTTTATGGTATCCAGGCAGTTACTTTTGAATTCAAAATATTTCATTTCAAAATTTGCCGTAGTTTTTAGAAAAGCAAAGACAACCCCAAACCAAAATAATAACCTTCATCTATATCCTATTAAAGATTTATTCACTCTAAAAGGAGAGAAAGCCAATACTATTCTAAGCTGAACCACTGTGAAAACAGATATTTTTGGCTCAGATGCTGACCTAAACATAAGCATGCCACGGCTTTGCTCTAATAGAGCTTAGGGAAGACCTAAGCGATGCCAAAATTGTCTTTTGGTTCTCTGCTCAAGGTGAGGAGAGACTTCACATGCTAAGAGATTTTTGGCATTTCAGTTTTCCTCACAGTGGGTTCACAGTGAAATTACAACAGGAATGTTGCTTTGCTGCTGATGGCACATGATAAGGGACTGGAGCGTGTCCCAGTGACACCTGCCATTGATGTGGCCACAGAAGACATGTCTCCATGATATCTGGGGAAGACCTGCAGGTCTCTGACACAGAAACTACCATGGGTGGTTCTGGCAGTGTCTGTGGAGCAGCCTTACCCCATCTTTGGTACGGTTCATTTCTGAAGAGCATCATCGCACCCCAGCCTATGGCAGAGCAGTGTTCAGCGCACACCAGGCTGGCTCAGTGGGCAGCAGTGCTCAGCCAGTCCCCATCATCAGCAAGACCACTGCAGTCAGCTGGAGAGTTGTTTGCTGCTTTGCTTTTGCAGTCCAAGAGCAGGACTGGCTTTTCTGGCTAACATAGGCAGCGAAACAGAGGTTTGCAACTTCATGTTGCTTCCTCCCTTCCCACCCCCTAACTAGTGAACCAGCTGGCTCGTTCCACCAGCTTTGGCCAGCAGGGTGGAGGTCTGAAAGCTTATTAAGTTCCAGCGTGTTTCATGGAAACCATTTGAGGAGACAGAACCTACTAAGTGCCCTGGGCTGCTGCCAGACCTCTGTCCTTTATAGACGCTGGAGAATCCACACCAGGGCTCAGCTTTGCCAGGAGATACATGAGAGGCCAAGTGTCTTTGACTTCCAACTCACAGAAATGCCTGTTTCTTTTCTAGTCCCCCTTGCATGACGTTGGTTGTGTACCAAGCTGGCACATTATGGGAAAAATGAAGAGGGAGAGGAGGGGAATTTTCCCATACTGTACAGTCTTCTGAGGATACTGCCAATGATGTTGTGTCTGGAGCACAGTGTTTCCACTGAAACACTTGCTCCAGGAAGATTTCAGTTTATTTGATTGTTATAAGCTGCTTTTGTGTGTGCATGTGTGTCTGAACAAACTCTTCTGGGTGGCCTAGAAGAGAGTGCATCTAATAAAAAATAAGGAAAATAAAAAGCAGAGGACTTAATGGTGGACTCAGGATGGGAGTCGATACCCATCACAGCTTTGGTGATGACTGCCTGGCTTGCTGTGGTGCAGACGACAGGCAGAACTTCCTACTCACTTGTGCAGCAAAAGTATCATCCCAGATTCAGTATAAAAAATGAGAGAATTTACTGAGCGAGACTGTTCAGCCTAGTAAGCAAAGTTAACTGAGACCGCAAACAGCTCCTGTTTAACTGTCAGCTCCGAGCACACTGCAACCCCAATAAATTAAATATTTAAAAGACATCATGCAGCAATTTTTTTTAATGGAGAAAGCCATTCATCAAGCTACTGCCGTGTTTCACAAGCTGTCGAATAGTGCTTACACTGGTTAAAATAATCTTTATATTTCATTAAGCAACCAAATAAGCTGATCCCTTCCCACTGGCTGTATAGATGGTTTTAATTTTCAAAATCTGCAAATGCATCTTTTATGTCTCTGGGTGGCTGGAGGGCCTCAGGAACAGCCACAGCTGGGAGGAGAATGAGAGCAAAGTTTGAGCTCCTGCTTTATGGAAGGGTACAGGCTAGAGCAGCTGGGAGGGTAATGTAGGGTCCATCCTGAAAGAAAGGGTCCATCACCCTGATTTTCTGCGTCACAGATCATTGAAGAGTTGGGAGTGGTGGAGAAAGGAGATGGGAGCTGAGAAAAGGTGCAGGAAAACCATAGGTGAGCAGAACATCTCTCTGTGGGGTGAGGCTAGCCTGGGTTTGCCTCTACTGAGAGCTGATGGCTGATCCTGCAGCATTTGCTCAGCACAAGGGGATGGCTGCCCCCACGCAGTGCCTGGAACTGGTACCTCCTGCCGCAGGCAGCTTCCTTCTGCATGGCTCCTCAGGGCCATACCAGTAACTCTCCCATCCCTGCATCAAAAGACTTGCTTGCTTTCCCAGCTTCCCATGTTTTGCAGCAGCAGGCTGTGAGGTCTCTGCACCCTGTGCTGGACCCTACCAGGGTTCACACTCCTTCTGCGTTTGCAATCCTGGCATTACTACCTCAGTCCCAAAAATTCTCCTATGGCTTTTACCTTTCACTTAAGTCTTCACTGTGGAAGTTGTATGGGTGCTGTGGCCATTTTTCTTCCCAAGCCTGCAGGGAAGAGATGGGTCCTGCCAGGATCTGGCCTCACAGAGAGGACCGGGGGTTCCCCTTAGCTTCAACTGCTGGCTATGAGAAACCCAGGTTTCTCCATTGTCTGCATTACCTAGAAGCCAGGCAATGTAGGTCCCTGCCCATTCCAGACTAATCCAGAGAGGAGGCCACTCTTGATTCAGCGATTGCCGTTCAATCTGACACAAAACAATTTGCACATTTACCAGCCAGGATTGGGAACCCCTTTTATGCTGGAGCAGAGCTGCATTGCTCCAGCTGCAACGTGACTCCCATCCATCCCTTCCCAACACTGGCCTTGAAAACCTGAGTTTTCCATAAAGTCGTATAGCACAAGAGGAGCGCTATTCATTGTATACCTCTTAATGCTGTAGCATATAGGGGAAATTTGGCCCTGGGCTTCAATATTATCAGCTTTGGCTTCTCAACTTTTGCAAAAGGCTTTAAATTTTCCTGTTTAACTGGTAATTAATTTTGTATCCAGGCACATAATTTTGTCCTGAGACAAGATGTGAAGTGGAAGGAACCATGCATTTCCTCACTGGGTGAAAACTCCTGTTCCTACACTGTGGCTTGTGTATGTGTGGAACTGAAACAGATCTGGGAATAATAAAATGTCTTTTAAAAATGAGATATTGAAGTTTTCTTGTTACAAAACATCTCTATTTTCCCTTCTATCAGGGAAAAACAAGAAGACAAAACCACAAAACCCAACCTGGAACTGTATTAACTGCA